CCTAGGTTATTAATTGGGCGCGGGCTGCCCAAAAAATTTGGGCGCCCGCGCCCAAAAAATTTCGCCCGAATTGGTTTTAAACCTAGGTTATTAATTGGGCGCGGGCTGCCCAAAAAATTTGGGCGCCCGCGCCCAAAAAATTTCGCCCGAATTGGTTTTTAGCGACGGAATTTCCGTCGCTAAAGATTTTTTAGCGACGGAAATTCCCTCGCTAAAAACTATTTAAACCTAGGTTATTAATTGGGCGCGGGCTGCCCAAAAAATTTGGGCGCCCGCGCCCAAAAAATTTCGCCCGAATTGGTTTTTAGCGACGGAATTTCCGTCGCTAAAGATTTTTTAGCGACGGAAATTCCGTCGCTAAAAACTATTTAGCGACGGAAAATTTTTCCGTCATAAATTTATTTAGCGACGAAATAATTCCGTCGCTAAAACACAAATTTCCGTTGCTATATGAATTTTAGCTACGGAAATTTGGCGACAGAATTTTCCGTCGCTATAAACTAACTTATAGCGACGGAAAATTCCGTCGCTATTATTCCGTAGCTAAAACCTCATTTTCCACTAGTGATTACTACCTTATTATTATCTATGAATATTGTAGCCTCGCACACACCAAGAGTAAGAGGTATATTAGTAATTTTACACATGAAAGACTTTTCCCCCTTTCCTTTATTTATTCTCTTATTTCTAGAAAATTATAAATTATGAATGAGAATATGATATAATTCACAATAATTAATATTCATAATTTTCTAATTATTTCTAGAACATTCTAAATAATTAATAAAAAAATAAGTTTTGAACTAACATAATTAAATTGTTCATCAAGGTATACGTTATAATAGATTAAAATATCAAATGATAAGTTCATTTTCAGAAATGATTATTAAATACATGTTAATGCAAAAAATATCAACTAAAAACATGATCATGATCATTTTAATGAATATTTTAATTTTTAAATAGTAAAAAATTTAAATTTTTTTTATAGTTTTTAAATTATTGGGGAAATTTTTTTTAAACAATTTTTATAATTTTTTATATTATTGGGAAAAATATTTTCTAAAATGATTTTGGATGACATTTAGTAAATGGAAAGCTACATTATCCCGCTTGAACTATATTACAATATAACTTAATTATTTTAGATTGTGATATAGAAGTTAAAAAACTGATGAAACTTTAATATATTAAAATATAATTTGCTTATTTCATATAAAAATTAAAAAGTATACGATTAATATATATGACACGTGCATTTGCACATGCAATAATGCTACATATTCTAAAATACATTTTAGAATAAATGTTAGAAAACCCTCCTTAACTTTGGACACTTATCAGAAAACACTCCTTAAGTTTCAAAATATCAAAAACAAAATCCTTAAGTATCATGATTATAACAAAACTACCATTTAACTTTAAAACTTTATTACAAAACATCCTTTAACTTTCAGATTTTATTAGAAAATCCCCTTAAATTAGCTGGTTCTCTGATAAAATCTAAAAGTTAAGGGGAGTTTTCAGATAGCCCCTAAAAGCTAAAGGGTTTTCCGATATTTTCAAAGTGAAGGGGGTTTTCTGTTAATCATCCAAAGGTAAGTGGTTTTTATGAAATTTAGCCTGTATTTTAACTCGCGTTGGTTTCACGCGGACATTTCACTTGCGTTAGCTTCAAGCGAGACACTTCGCTATAATTACTCACCGAGGCCTTTCGCTCGTCCTCAGATTCAAATCGCGAGAAAAATGGTAATTCTTTTCCATCTTACTTTGATTTCCCTCGTTCTTAAATTTAGGGTTTCTAAAATTTAGGTTTTTTTTCCTGCAGTTTGTCAGTTTTGTTAATCAGAGCATGAAGTTTCTGCTGAATGGAGCTTCTAATTCTTTGAAAACGCTGTCGACAAAGTTAGGGTTTCGATAGGTTATAGAAGGTTGGAAACATTGATTTCCGAATCTAGGGTTCGAAAACGAGTCCGATTCAAATTGCGAAAAGGGGAAGAGGAACGACGAATGAAGAGTGAGCAAATTTTCTTCCTTTCTTATATTTTCGGGAAATTTTCTCTTATTTTTGTATGTTTTCTTTCGAAATACTTCCAATTTTGTGAACATCACTGTTTTAGAGTTCATCAATTACTGTCCTTTAATTTCCCCCTAGAATCGTAGTATGAATTTCTTATTTTCTAGTTTCTTTCTCTTACTTTGATGTTCAATAATTTTCTTCAATTATTTTAATCATGCAATCACTTGAAATGCTGCTTCTTAAGCTTGAAGCTACGAATGGACGGGCAGTGACTGAAATAGAAGCAGAAATGATACTCGAGGCTCAGGAGAAAGAAAAGGTGGAGGTCAAATTTAACCCTAACTTCAAGTTCGACAAGTTGGGCGAGTTTCTTATCAAAAACCAGCTCTACTCAGAATTTCTGCTTAAAAAAATGGATGACATCACCACCGTATACATCTAATCCTTATTTAATTGCATATGCATTGTATTCCTGGGTTATGATTGTTTGCTGTTAAAGCAGAACAATGTAGTGAATAAAGTTGAAGAAGAAACGATATTTCCGATGTAGAAGATTCTTCTAAAGAGAAGCAGGGCTAAAGAGGGAGGCTGTTAAGAGTGCTTCAAAATTCAGCAATGTGAGTTGCATTTACTTTGCCCAACATTCTGATCCATAAAGCATTGTCAGTTGTCGTCTTTTTGAATAGGAATACTTCCATATGTATTTATGTTATACCTTTAACTATGCTCTTTGTATTGCCATCATGTCACTTGAAGTCGAAGATGCATGTGGTTGATTGTTTAGAGAAAAGCGATGACTGTCATTGCTGCTATGCAAACAGAGATGACCGTATGCATGTCCAAATCAGCTTATTGAAAAGTTAATCTACTGTAGGCATATTTTCAGGTGCATATGTTTGTTTGTTTAGAGAAAAGTGAGGACTGTCATCGCAGCTATGTTGACAGAGATGCTCATGCGTGCAGTATCAGAGACCATTCGACTGGATTGGACCAAGGGCGGACTTTATTCCTGGCATTGATTTAGTAATGTAAGTACCCCTTGTTCCACGGAAAATTTACCTTACTTATTTGTGCCCATATTAATGATAATATGGTGTGAACACAGAAGCTGTTGCGTTGGGTGCCTTCAAAACTCGTTGATGGAGGGCAATCCCAAATAACATTTTTCCTTGTATATCAATGATGCCATTTGAGCCGTTCTTTGATGATTGTATATTACTACTCACGGAGTGATATCTTTTACATGCTTCTAGTCTAGATGTTTGGTAATTCCAAGCTAACATCAAATTGGCTTTATATGTCAGGAAAATCCTTTATCTGTCAGGAAAATCCTGTTCGTGCCAATGGCCAGATCTTCGTAAATCCTTACAATGAAGTTACAGTAAAGAAAACCTGCAGAAAATGTTGAATTGCTAACTTTTACTTCTCTCACTCACAGGTGTACTCGAAGGTCTCTGGAGAACCAGCTTTGAAGGTTCCAACAGTACATGCCAGCTCCAGGATCTTTATGGAAATAGAATATGATTATAGCTCTACTTTCTACTCTCTCCAACTGGTTTAATGATTTCTAAAGGTAAAACTATTTAGTGAAATTGTCTTTTGTTTACAAGCATATACAGTGTTCTAACATTGGGAAGCTTTGCATTAGGTTTGTTCTCTCCAATTGTACTATCACATATCATAGAACTGAGGAAGAAAGCACAAAGACAAGAAAAAAGTTCATGTGTATGCTAATCATAGAACTAAGCAAGTATGTTCTAGTGGATGAGGTAAAAGCTCTACCCTGTCAATTTTCTCTATATTTACTGAGATATTTAGTTCTTCCAGTTTTTCTTCTCTCATTGTCCCCCTTTTTCTTAGGGCCATCGCTTGAAATATGCACCCTCTTAGTAAGGGAATTAAAACGCTTACCAATGGAAAATAACCTTCTTTTGACTGACCCTGCTGTAAGTACAATTTGGCTGAGCTTTGGTCATTGTTGAACTTCATTTTTCCTGGCATTTTGTCGACCAGTCTTTATACAGTGTTCTAACATTGGGAAGCTTTGCATTAGGTTTGTTCTCTCCAATTGTACTATCACATATCATAGAACTGAGGAAGAAAGCACAAAGACAAGAAAAAAGTTCATGTGTACGCTAATCATAGAACTAAACAAGTATGTTCTAGTGGATGAGGTAAAAGCTCTACCCTGTCAATTTTCTCTATATTTACTGAGATATTTAGTTCTTCCAGTTTTTCTTCTCTCATTGTCCCCCTTTTTCTTAGGGCCATCGCTTGAAATATGCACCCTCTTAGTAAGAGAATTAAAACGCTTACCAATGGAAAATAACCTTCTTTTGACTGACCCTGCTGTAAGTACAATTTGGCTGAGCTTTGGTCATTGTTGAACTTCATTTTTTCTGGCATTTTGTCGACCAGTCTTTAGTTTGAATCTTCTTAAGTATGTACGGCTGACAGAAAGTCAGCTATCAGTTATTTTATCCTTTGGAGAAAATTTTGCTGCCTGCTGGGGTTACGATTATCACAATAGTGCTTTTAAACTATTAAATGAAACAAAACTTTTTCCAACTGAACCATCAAACATTTTCACCTTTCTATTGAATAGATGAACATAAATAGCAAATATATGAGCATGCATCGAATCCACAAGCTATTGGTTGACTTGTTTCTTTAGGAACTGATTTTTCTAAGTTAATAGGACCATCTCTTTTTTTTCCTTTTCGGAAGGTCATATATTGTTAATACTACCTGTTACTTCTCTTAGAACAAAAGTGTTCCAACTTTTTAAGCATCTTTCTTTACTTTACGTAAATTTTCTATTGCTGATATCTTTGAAACTATGTGGCACGCTTGTTGCTATTGGTTCTAGTAATGATTTACGTGCACTTTTGTTCTCTGAAATTATCATGTCTTCCTAATCCTGCAAGCATTTTTTGTAAATTATAATTTAGAGTTATCATAGCTAGTGACAGCTAGTCTGTCCTCACAATGTATACCTGTCTTTTAGTTTTATTATTCCCTAATCTTTTTCTCCTCTTGTTCATATTGTACTGATTGTCTTTATTTATACGAGCGTACCTCTTGAAAATGTTATCCTAAGTCTCAAAAAGATGTCTCAGGAAAGTGGTTATTTTGTCAGTCATTAAAATTTCCATTTGGCTTTTTTTTTGCTTGCTGTCCTATTTTGATGCTGACAGTCATCTTCTTCTTTCAGTTTTGATTTTTCGAGGAGGGCCAACGGTGACTTAGAGCAGGAAAATGTTTGCATTAAGAGAAGGGTTGAGGTATTACTTTGTGCAGATGTTATATATCATGTCAGTTATGTATAATGGTTTAAGAAATAGCCCTCAAGCATTATGTTGACAAAATGATTCTGTGTTTTTTCCTTTTTGGTGGTCAATCATTTCTTTTGTCAAAGATTCTTCTCTACGTCTGCTTTCATGACTGACGTGATACATAACATCTACACAGCTGGTTAGATCGACAAGATTCTTCTCTACGTCTGCTTTCATGACTGACGTGATACATAACATCTACACAGCTGGTTAGATCGACCTGTTTCTTTTTAAAGGGCAGCTTAAGTTTTTCTAGATGGTTTAGAAGTAGGAGAAATGTGCATATACAGTTGTGCGTATGGCAGTTGAGCTGTTCATACTGATGTTTGGTTTGTACGATGGGTACCCCTGAAACTTGCATGAAAGGGAAGTTGAACAATTTGGTAATTCAACTTAAAAAGAATTGTAACCATCCTGATCTCTAGTGCAAATATGATTGATCACGTAAGGACTTGAAGTTTACTATGGTAGTCGGTATCTCTGACATCTTATTATCCAAAGTTTTTCATTTACAAACAAAAATTCAATGGAAACTTATCTTTGTGTTGGGATCATGGAGGGATTTCATGCTCAAACATCATACTTTGGTGCCACATTGTTTTGGGGACATTAGCAGGTAGCATAAGGGGGTGATGGCTCAACCTTCAATTTTTATAAGGGACGTTGAAGTCCTTAAACCTATTCTACTATTATGCACGAGAAAGAGTGAAATAATCAGTTAGAAGAAATGTTATAAGAAGAAGGAGATGAAAATCTGCCAGTTAGGCGGGTTTGGCGTTGGGTATGACCGTATGAGTCTAGACTGGGTTTTGATGAAATTCAAAGCCTGCCTGTTTGGGTTCGGGTTTGACTTTAAGCTTTCTAGAACCCATAACTTCAGGTCAATTTTGAGTACAGACACAACCTGGTGAACACATTTATATGGGGATTGGATCTCATTAATTCGATTGTCACAGACTCATGTCCATAACTTGCTATTGATTTCTTATTTATGTCCATTGTCGTAAGAAGCTTGCCCATGAGTATTGGAGACTAAGTTCAAGTTTCAAAAGGCTAAAATTTGTATCGATCGGTTAGCTAACATCTTTTCTTGTTACTCTTTAGTAAGTATCAGGAGGTTAATATGCTGTAATCTTTCTGGTTGATGAAGGTAAACTGCAACGAGGGTATGGACTGATGCGGCAAATGTGATGTTAAGGGTAACTCCACTATCAAGTGGCTTCCGAATGGCTCCTTGAACTAAAAAAAAGCGAGTTCATATTAATAACTTTATTTATTTGTTTCATAATTGCTTATGCCATGTGGTATGTTTCATCCAAGACGTCCTTTTTCAGTCACATATAGCAATGCTTGATAAATATTGGTTGTGTTGATCATACAGGTATGTACGTCCGCGTACTGCAGAAGTTCTCACGGTGTTCGTAGGTACAGGAGGAGGTAATGCTATATCCTTAAATCTTTTTGCTTCATATTTCACTCGATGAAGTGGGATTTAGTTTCAGGACTATTGTAGTATTAGGCATTCAGCTTACATCACATACAGTTTATGTCTTTTGGCAAGTCTGGGTGGGATTTCATGTTGGCATGAAATATAGTAATTTTTTTGCCTTTGGCCATGATAAACTTTTGATGAATTTATTTTCCTTGTATGTTTGTCTTTTTAAGTATATTTTAACATGGAAAAAACGAAACTTGAAGCTCAGCTTCTGAGTTTGAACTTCTGATGAATTCATTTGCAATTTCTAAGCTGGTCAATTAACCGCGAACTGCAAGCTCACATATACTTGTGAAGTTTTATATAGCATCTTATCTGCAATTTAGAGTTTGTATTAAGAGTTACTCTAACATCATTTGTCAGATATATTTCTTCCATTTTCCATTGTTCTTTAGCTAGGTTATTGGGACACTTTATTTTGGCTCCTGATCTATCTCCAACACCTCCCATGTCTGTGTCCAACACTCCTTGGACATGTCTCGAATACGCACATACATTTATTTGGATGTGTACTTAATTATATAATACATGTTTCACTTTTAAACACTCATGGTACACTTCTTGGATATATATCTTACCCTTCACCACAAATTTCTGCAACTCTTTCAACTCGACTCAAATTTGTTTTGGCTTATACTTAATTCATAAGTATGATTCTAAAGTGTAGTTTGGTATTTAGTTAAAAGTATGAGCAGATTTTTAATTTATAGTCTATTCAATAAAAGAAACATTTAAATGTTATACGGATTTTTGTACAACATGTGAATGAAAAGCAATATCGATCCCATAAAAATTACTAATTTTGATATGCATATTTATAGCAATGCCCCTGAATTTTACATGTTATAAATTTACCGTCTCTCATATCCACATCCGCACTCATACATGTGCAATATAGTCCTTCAGTCAGATGTCTTGCACGTGTCAAGAGCTATTTTTTGGTGTTCTAACTGAATGCAAGCAAGTAGACTAAAGTAGATCAAAATAATCATTTCTAACTAAAAGAATCAGAATTCAAATGCTCATTCACTAAGACAATGTTGGTCCCTCGGCCTACAGTCTCCGAAAAGAATTCTGGCCCATACAAAAAGATTAAATTCGGCCTTAAATTATTTATTCAGAATTAAGGCCTCTAGGTTAATTTGTTTAGGCTTTACCATGGTAAAAGTCTAAAACTCATTTAAATTAGATTTAAGGGCTTAATATAAATATAAAATAGAAGTTAAGGTCTAATATGAGAAAAATAAACTTTTTGGGTGCTAATTCACATCGGCGGACTTACCTTGATCGAAGTAGTGTCATGTGACACCACTTTGATCGAGGAGGACAAGGATCCAACTTCATTTAACACCCATCAATCAAAAAGTCATGTCACTAGGTGACCTCACTAATAGAAAACATATGCTTCCCGCTGAAATCTCCTATTTTCTGTTGGGACAAACCCGGAGCCCAATAGAGCAGGGTCGTAGCGATAGTAGAGTGAAAGTAGAGATAAAAAGAACACACAGATTTACGTGAAAAACCCCCTAAAGAATTTAGGGTAAAAATCACGGGCAGTGATAGAATAATCCACTATGAGGAGAAACTCTGGAGTTACAATATCTCTTTACAAGGAAATATTCTCTCTCTAATTTTCTCTCACTCTTCTATATGAGTTGTTTCTGGGATGATTTTTTCCTTAATAGTTTGGGGTCTATTTATTGTGTTTGGAAAAATACTATACACTAATATTATATTAATATTTTTACTATACATTTCTTATTTCAAACCTTACGGCTGCTTTTGGCACCGAAAGTGATGGTGGGGCCCACTCTTTTTCATTCTTTTAAAAAGTTAAGAATGGTTTCACAAATATGAACCTATCTCAGGAGGTTCTGTATTCATGGTGAATGATCATGCCTTAAAGATTTTTGGTATTAGTACTATCAAAATCAAAATGTTTAATGATACAATACGCACCATTCAAGATGTGCGACATGTGAAGGGTCTGAAGAAGAATCTATTGTCTTTAGGACAATTAGATGAGCTTGGGTGCAAGACCCATATAGCAAATGTGATCATGAAGATTGTTAGAGGGGCGCTTGTCATAAAATGAGAAAAAATAGTTATAAATCTATACATATTTAAGGGAGAGATTCTACAGGATGCTGATTCATGTGTGACATCAACCAGTCGTGGAGAAGAACAAACCATGATGTGGCATCACAAATTAGGGCATATGTCAGAATGAGGCTTGAATATTCTATCTGATCAGAAGCTGCTTCATGGACTTAATTCGATAGTTCTTCCCTTCTGCGAGCATTATGTTACAAGTATGCAGCATCGACTGAAGTTTAACACATCGAGTTCTAGAAGTAATGCTATTCTGAAACTGGTTCATTCTGATGTATGACAAGCACCGGTTACATCCATGGAAGGAACAAAATACTTTGTGTCATTTATTAATGATTATTTCATGAGATGTTGGGTGTATCCTATCAAGAAGAAGGTGGATGTGTTCTCAGTCTTTAAAGCCTACAAAGCGCGAGTCGAGCTTGAATCTTAAAAGAATATCAAATGCTTGAGGTCAGATAATAGAAGAGAATACACAGACGGTGAATTTCTTGTATTCTGCAAGCAAGAAGATATTAAAAGACAATTCAGTACTGTTTATACTCAACAAAATAGAGTGGCGGAACGGATAAACAGAATTCTGTTGGAAAGAACAAGAGCAATGTTAGTAACTGTAAATCTGGATAAAGTCGCGGAAGCAGTAAAAACCGCATGTTATGTGGTGAATCGATCTTCATCAACTGTAATACAATTGAAAACGTCGATGGAGATGTGGGCTGACAAGCCAGCTGATTATTCCAACCTTCATATATTTAGAAATCCAGTGTACGTTATATATAATGCCCAAGAAATTACAAAGTTAGATTCAAAATCTAAAAAATGCATATTCTTAGGGTATGATGATGGAGTAAAGGGGTATCACTTATGAGATCCCACTACCTGTAAGGTTATCATCAGCAGATATGTTATCTTTGTAGAGAACCAACTATAAAGTGAAGAAAAAAAAAGTTCGAGGAAGGACTCAGAGATTGTAGCTGTTCAGGTAAAAAATGATCCAAATTCTTCTGAAGCAATACCAGAGAGCATGATGTACAAGAGCCAGTAGAGTTCGAGGCTCCAAAAGTTCGAAGGTCAACTCGTGAGAGAAGACCACCGACTTGGCACTCGAAATATATTACAGAGAGTAATGTTGTGTACTGTCTTCTAACAGAGGATGAAGAGTCATCAACTTTTCATAAAACTATAAATAGCACAGATGCATATTTGTGGTTGGCAGCAATGTAGGAAGAAATTGAAGTTTTCCATAAGAACAAGACTTAGGTACTTGTATCACTGCCACAAGGAAGAAAGACCATTGGAAATAAATGGGTCTATAAGATCAAGCGAAATGGCGATGATCAAGTAGAGCGATATCGTGCTAGATTGGTAGTAAAAGGATATACTCAGAGAGAATGTATTGACTTTAATGCAATATTTTCTCCTGTAGTTCGACTTACAACAGTCCGAATGTCCTGACTATGAGCGCTATGACTATGAGCGCTATATTTGACTTACATCTAGAGCAGCTAGATGTGAAAATAACATTTTTTCATGGAGATATTGAAGAAGAAATTTACATGCTCCAACCAGAAGGTTTTGAAGAAAAAAGAAAAGAGAACTTGGTTTGCAGATTGAACAAATCTCTGTACGGTCTAAAACAGGCGTCAAGGTGTTGGTACAAGAGATTTGATTCATTCATCATGAGTCTTGGATACAACAGACTTAATTCAGATCCTTGTGTATATTTCAAGAGGTTTGGTGAAAATAACTTTGTTATCTTATTGTTGTATGTTAACGACATGTTGATTGTAGGCCCCAACAAAGATCATATCAAAGAATTAAAGGCTCAGTTAGGTAGAAAATTTAAAATGAAAGATTTAAGATCTACAAACAAGATTTTAAAGATGCAAGTTTACTGAGTCTGAATTAATAGGAAGATTTTGCTTTCTTAGAAGAATTATTTGAAGAAAATCTTACGGCGTTTTAAAATGCAAGATTGTAAGTCAATTTCTACCCTACTTCCTGTTAAGTTTAAGTTATCCTCTAGTATGAGTCCTAGCAATGAAGAATAGATGATGGAGATGTCTCGAGTACCGTATGCATCAGCAGTAGGAAGCTTAATGTTCGCTATGATTTGTACAAGACCAGACATTGCACAAGCAGCGGGAGTGATTAGTTGATACGTGGCGAATCCTGATAAAGAGCATTGGAATGCTGTATGATACGTTAAGGGAACCTTAAATGTTGCATTATGTTATGGGGGATCTAATTTTATTATCAGTGGATATGTTAATTCTGATTATGCATGTTATTGTGATAATAGCAAATCCACCACAGGTTATGTGTTTGCACTTGCTGGCGGAGCTGTAAGCTGGATATTAAAATTGTAGTCTGTTGTGGCTACTTCAACAACAAAAGCAGAACTGTAGCAGCTACACAAGCTAGTAAAGAATCGATGTGGTTGAAGATGGTGCTGGAGGAACTCGGGTATGAACAAAAGAAGATTTCTCTATTTTGTGACAGGCAGAGTGCTTTACATTTAGCAAAAAATATAGCCTTTCATTCAAAGACCAAACACATTCGAGTTTAGTACCACTTTGTTCGTGAGAAAGTGGAAGAAGGAACAGTGGGTATGCAGAAAATTCACACCAAAGACAACCTAGCAGATTTTTTGACAACAGTCAATACTGACAAATCTATTTGGTGTCGATCCTCCTGTGATCTGCCAGAGACATGAGCAACATGAAGATGACAAGATAGAAAGAATAGTATGAAGATATGATTTATACTCAATTAAATATTCAAGTGAGAGATTGTTAGGCGAAATTCCTGACTCACAACCTCAATTTTTTGAAAGAAAATAAAAGAGTGGGCCCCACCATCACTTTCGGTGCCGAAAGCAGTCGTAAGGTTTGAAATGAGAAATGCACAGTAAAAATATTAATATAATATTAGTGTATAGTATTTTCCCAAACACTATAAATAAGCCCCAAAATCTTAAGGAAAATTCATCTCAGAAACAACTCATATAAAAGAGAGAAAAATAGAGAGAGAAGTGTGTTCTTTTTATCTCTGCTTTCACTCTACTATTGCTGCGACCCTGCTCTATTGGGCCCTGAGTTTGTCCCAACATTTCCCACCCAACCTCACCTAACTGAAATATTACCCTGCAACTCAGTTTTAGAATGTTATTTTTAATATTAGTCCCTTAAATCTTTGGCACACTGAAATAGTCCCTCAAATGATAAAAATCGGTATTCTGTCCGTCTCTCAATTGTCCCCTTTTTCATAGAGTCATTGCTTGAAAATATGCACCACCTCTTTTTAAGGGAAGTAAATTGCTTTTCAATTGAAAATAAGCTTCTTTTCACTGAGACCCTGATGCAAGACAATTTGCGTGAGCTTTTGTTGTTGTTGAACTTCATTTTGCCTGACATTTCGTCCTCCCATGCTCAGTTTGAATCTTGGTAAGTATGTACTGCTGACAGAAAGTAATCTATCAGTGATGAGTTAGTTTATTCCTTGGAGAAAATTTTGCAGCCTACTGGAATTACTACTATCGCAACAGTGCTTTTAAATTATTGAGTGAAACCAAAGTTTTCCTAACTGTACCTTCAAACATTTACCCTGATACAAGACAATTTGCGCGAGCTTTTGTTGTTGTTGAACTTCATTTTGCCTGACATTTTTTCCTCCCATGCTCAGTTTGAATCTTGGTATGTACCGCTGACAGAAAGTAATCTATCAGTGATGAGTTATTTTATTCTTTGGAGAAATATTTTGCTGCCTACTGGAATGACTACTATCGCAACAGTGCTTTTAAACTATTGAGTGAAACCAAAGATTTCCTGACTGAACCATCAAACATGATCATCTTTCTATTGGATAGTTGTGCGTAAGTAGCACAAATATGCAA